CCCCAAAACCCCAAAACCCCAAAACCCCGACGGGATCATATAGATAAAATTGATTTTTCTTAAATATTGAAGAAATAACAAGGAATGAATAATTGTCTAACTTTCTAAAAGTCCTTTATCTCACAGATCCTGATTGATAATAGCTCAGAAGCTAAACAAATCATTTACATCTGGCTAAAAATTTTGCTGCTGTTACTGCTAATGCACATCATTTTAGACTTATGAGCTTCCACCGAAGTCGAAATTATTAGAGAAAAGATCGTCTTATTGATTGTGTTATTCTTGATGCTGCTATTAGCCTGATCCTCCAAAGAATATGTTTCCACCCATATCATATTAATGATGTTATTGCTGCTACTAGATAACTGGTTAGGATTACATCAAGCCAGCACCAAATATATCATTATTATTTTAGTTCATTTATAATTGCTACTACTGCTATTAGCTGTTATTAGTGGGTATACCAAAATCACTTCCGAATAGATCATTACTATGATTTTACTATTATACTTATGCATTTACTTGTGGCTATCCTAGATTCATATTATTAAAAGCATCATTAAGTCCCCCAATTGGTTATTGCTAGAATTGCTGGTGTTGCTGTTAGATAGGCTATTATTAAATCAATGGCTATTATTATAGCTATGGTTGCTATTGTAGATTTTACTGTTGTTAGTATTAGACTTGGATTGGATTATAGTTCAAATCATATTATGGTTTCTCTGTTTTCCTGTCTTTAATCTTACTGTCAGCTATATTAAACAAGTCTGCAAATTCTTTAGAGCCCTCATCTTCCTATTTCTTTTCAGGAGCTTTATACCCACCAAAGTTAAACCCATCTTTCTTAAATGAATCAAGAACGCTCTGGTTGACGGTTGGAGCAATGCTAGTACCGAATACATTGTTGAAGCTTGTAGGAGGTTAATTCATAGGCATATTGGTACCCATACCCATTCCCATTCCGAAGCCTGCACCCATACCATGATTCATTCCACCGAATCCTCCCATATTTGTGCCAAATTAATTCATTCCTGCTCCAGGGAATTATCCCATTGGGGGTTACATTCCCATACCACCCATTCCAGTCATGTATTGGTTATATCCTCCTCCCATTGGCATATTAGTTCCAAATTGATTCATTCCACTTGGTACATTTGTTCCGAATTAATTTGCATTTGGAACAGATTATTGCTAAGGTTATTTTTGGCTATCATTAGTCAAATCAGTCATGTTTTACATGATTTAATTAAGTTGGCTAAGTATATCTTTTTTCTCTTCCTTTTGCATTTAAACTGGTTATTGTTATAAAGGCTGTTAGAAATTTTATTGAGGTTATTAGAATGTTTATGGCTGCTAAAATTACTAAATAGGAACTGGCTACTGATTTGTGAAGAAGTCTTGCGCTGGTTTTTATTATTGAATGGGTTAAGAAGAACCACCTGCCAACATATCTAATAAATCTCCTCCGTTATTATTTTAAACACTTGGTTAGGGTCTAGATTGCTACTATTGCTATTATTGTTGCTATTATTAAGCTCTTTATCTTTAGGCCTTAACTTCTGGTTTCTCATAAATAGTTGTTGGAACAAGAACTGTTTATTGTTAGCTTTCTCCAGGCTAGAATACTTCTGGCTTTTTACCTTTCTTCAACTTTTCATATCTTTAAAATGTCTTGTGTAAATCATCATTTACTAGCAAGCAAACTTTCATCATTTCCTCGTTATCTAATGTGGATAAAAGTTCAAAAAGCTTAGGCTCCATATCTTTCAATGCTCTAACCAAATCATTAATAGGATTATCCTCAGATTAAACATCTGAAGGCTTCGCAGTATCTAGCATCATATTGGTAAGATTAATATTTCCCTTCACCAAGTTCATATCTCCCAAAAGCTTTTGATACTTAGAAGAAACCTTTCCATTTTAAGATGAAGAAGATTAATTTTATCTCTAGGGATTTGGAGCTTCAGTGCCCCTTCTTTATTCCTATGCCTTGGGCTATTGTTATTGCTAAGATTTTTATGGTTGCTGTTACTAAGGTACGCTATCTGGTACATATTGAGGGAATGGAACATTTCTTGCTTTTAAAGCGCTATACACTTCAGAAAATAGGGGTAATATATCCTTATCTTTTTCAAATCTCATACCCCATTTCTGTATCAAGGACAATATTCTTTCTTGGATCTATATGTTAATGAGTATTTGAATGATTGATGAAAGTTAATGAGGTATATTGAAATGAAAAGTGATCTTACAACTGGAGGAAAGTTTTTCTGGTTTAGCAATGTCACTAACACATTCATGAACTCTTTAGTACCAATTTGGATGTGAAGTGGATTCCCGCAAGTCAGCATTGCTTTTTCTAGTAATTCTAGAGTTAGTGCTACAACTCTTGGCTCCTTTGTTTAAAATCTTTTCTTAAACTGAGCTGCTGCTAATTTTGCTCTAAAATATAGGTATAATTACGTGTATCAACAAATTTAGAATATGACTTTGAAATTCTTGGTTATTGACTTACGTGTCAGATTTTGTATTGATCTCTTAAATTACTTGAGCATTTAAATTTTGGTCAGGTCTTGATAGCTCATTACTGGTAGCTGAATCAATTAAGTTTTGAACTTTCGAACTTTAATTCATTTTTAAATTTCTTTTATAATTTCTGATTCAGCCAATTATCCTTTTTTAATGGGGTTTTGGGGTTTTGGGGTTTTGGGGTTTTGGGG